CTCACAATCTTCCTGTCTCTAAATAAAATACAAAATCCAGCTTTTCAAGCCACTGTGATTACAGGCATGCACCACCTCTACCCCGCTAGTTACTTTACTTTTGATAGACCAACTCCAACTGCAACATTGTAAAATAATCCAGAAAGCTATTCAAAAGCCAGATCCTTACAGTAAAATATTGTCTTAGACAGGCTTGTACCTTTAGCTGGCCCTTTCTTCAACTCACCTCTGAGCAACTCCAATTTCAAGATTGTACAAAAGAGAAACACTGAGAGAGACAACCAGAGAGGAGCCCCCAAAACCATGGCCGGACAGATGGGAACTTTTAAATTGAGCAACCAAGATCTTTTCCAAGTCTACCTATAGGATCAATGCAGTATTAGCCACGTTTTAAAAGGGGGGTAGTAACAGATACAAATAAAACAAAAACACAGACCATCATAGAATTCCTAAGCTCAAGGCCAACAAACACATGAGAACCTAGAACAGACCAGAAAGAAGTACTACCTACTGGTGTGGGTTCTCCTACACCAGTGGACTCGTAGATGTGTGGACATACACAGATGTCCCCAGAAAGACGGGCCAGATGTGTGGAATCAAGTCTCGGCGTGCACACGGGGACACAGCAAATGGCCAAGGGTGTGACTTTCTTGAGTTTAGTTTCCTTTTTCTCAAAGTGGACCATGAGGGAGAAAACTGTACTGTTTAGGGAGAGAAGGCAGGCGTTCCCCAAGGTAAAAGGAGCTTTGGCAGCTGCTGGGATGGTCCCCCAGTCCCTCCTTTGCCCACAGGAACAGCTCCTCTGGTTCCACCTGAGGCAAACTCCTCACCCATCTCCTAACTCTTGCAGTTGACTCTCAACAAGTTCACCAGCACGCTCAGCATGGAAGTGGGGTTCCTTGGAGAGATAGGGCTGCCCAAGAAAGCTGGAGTGGAGGCAGCTCTCAGTTCTCACCTGGGATACCAAATTTGTTGCTGGAAGCTCTGTCCTTGTTCCCAGAGCCAATCCAATAATGAGGCCATGTTTTGAGAAAAAGGAAAGAGAAAGTTTATTGCTTTGCTAGCAAAGGAGAAACACAGGGGACTCCCTGTCCCAGAGGCTGTGATTCTGCCCATCAGCAGGAACAGGGGGTTTTTTAAGAGGTGACTCGAAGGCTACATTCTACGTGTTCTCTGTTGGAGTTGTCATTCACATGTCAATTTGGGAGATAGTCATTTCTCAGACCTTGTGGTATCACCCCCAAAGTCTGGATTACCTGATTCCTATGGTGAATGTATAGTCAGGGACAAATAACTCTGCCTGGGTTGGGGAAGAAAGGTAATCCAGTTTCCCCTGAGATTAGGGAAGGGGAGAGATTAGGGAGAAGCAGAGAGAGAGGAGGAGAAAGAAGCATGTCTATTTTACAACAAGTCACAGTGGCAGAGCAGCAAGAACTATATTCACAGCACAGAGTGGAGCACTGTTACAATCTGAGAGCCTTAGGAGTTAAGGAGACCTTCTACTTCCTGTCACAGTAAACCAGGCAATGCAGACCAATCTCCTCATTGATGACAACTAGAAAAGCTGGAACATGGCACAAGTGTGCATGTGCGCGCGCGCGCGCACACACACACACACACACACACACAACCTGTGAAGGTATCAGAAGGCTACCA